GGATGTTTCAGGAAGGAGATTATCGTAAAAATCACAAAGGACACTTGTAATAATTGCTACAGTTGAATAATTTCGCTCTGCCACTGTTCTATTGTACTAGAAGATTCAGTGAGTAAGCCCTGTGTTTAGACTGTGCTCTGTGTAAAGTGGGTTATGGAATTTATATCTCTAAAGCAAAGTCTGTGATAAATTCAGGGAGCCTGGGATTTGGACCCTCCAAAATTATATCTTTACTTTTACTTACCTCTGGCAAATTCACCTTTCCTTCAACTATGAACATAAGCGACAACTGTAATAGTGGACTCAGTAGAATAATAAATAGACTTTGTAACCAACAGAAATCATAGATATCTCCATATTATTACACTTGTTACAAATATCTTCTTTAAATACATGATCATTTAAAGTTATAGTGCCCTATAGAGGACCGTTCCAAGTGGTGTGGGAAATGTAGCCCAGCCCCCACCTGGAAAGGCCAGTGGGGAGCAAGGTCTGGCACAAGGTCTGACCCACGCCCATTGATAGGTTCCCCCCTGGGGAATCAGGCTGGGACTGTAGGGAGGCTGCTTTGAGGCTTGCTTTTGTTAAAACTCCCTCACCCTGAATTAAGGCAGCAAATGTTTACTGCGTATCTTTAAAGTAACTTCCTAAAAACTATGCTAAACCTTCCAAGGATGAGTGTAACCAGTTCAACCACTTTTCCCTTTGCATTTGCAAATATCCTTCCTCTGTGATGCAATTAGCAACATCCTCTCCTTTGTTTTCTGTAAAATGTAACCACCTAAAGAGAACCTGTGCATAGTAAATGAGGACCATCCTCAATGTAATATGCCCAGAAAAGTAATAAAAGCCTGTCCAGGCAGGGGTTGGGGCCCTCTCTCTCACTTAGAGAGCAGTCATACTGTTCCTTTTTCTCCACAGGACTTCTGTAGTCCATGTGAATTTGTTTATCACAGCCACAACACATGGACCCTGGACTGGGGTCCACATCATCTGGCACCCAGGAAGAGGGACCCAAGGCTACAAGCCACAGTTGTAGCCAACACACCAACTTAGTCGGAGTGCATGCATCAGCTCAGGTAAGGGCAGACAACACAAAGTGCTTTTCGGTAAGGTCGTAGGGTGTGTTGGATTTCAGAGGAAAAGGGATTTCTTCTCTCTCTTGCTCAGAGAGAGAAGGCAACCCTTTTTCTCCACAGGACTTCTGTAGTCTGTGTGAATTTGTTCACTGCAACCACAGGGACCCTGCAGGCCAAGGTCCACATCGGTGCCCTGGCTGGTGTGGCTCAGATCATTGGAGCATCGTCCCATTATTGAAAAGTCACAGGTTTGATTCTTATTCAGGGCACATGCCCAGGTTGGAGGTTTGCTCCCCCACTGGGGGCAACCAATCAATGTTTCTCTCTCTCTCCCCCTTCTTCTCTCTCTAAAAGCAATGAGAAAATGTCCTCAAGTGAAGATAAAAAAATTTTTTTAATTAAAATTATTTTAGTTATAAGTCCCACTGATACTAAACATTATTTACTACATTAATGAAAAGCACATAAGTGCTGTATCACACATTTAAAATATTTTGATAACTATATTTCAACATAATTTGTTTCCTTTATAATTCTATGTACTTTAATTTTTTCATATTAAAATATTATTTCAAAAAGGGAATCCACAAGATTTCACCATACAGCCAAAGGAGTTCATGCCATAGGAGATTAAGACTTGCTCTAGGGCCTAAAACTAAACAAATATAATTACATCTAAGGTGATGCTCTATAGATTAAAAAAAAAAGCTACCTATTTTCTGTTACGTGTCATACACTCATTTTGTTCTCTAGTATAGAGAAAAAAAACAAATGTCGCTATTTTTAGCAGATCTCACTTCAAAACTGGTTTGCAAATAGTTGTGAAGGTGCCCTAACAGCCTAGCAGACCCATGGGTTCCACTGAAACACAGAAAGCTTCAAACTAACATAATTTTCAGCTTTCACCTAGAGTTACCAAAAAAAAAAAAAAAAAGAGAAAAAACACACACACAAAAAGACTGCTATATATCTACATACTAATCTGGTTTGCAAACAGTAAAATATAGTCAATTCAATTATTTAATTAATGATAATGTATATAAACTAACATAGTACACCAAATATATATTAGACATTCACAGTTTCTTTTTTTCTTCTGGAATAGTATTTTGGCACGTACTGCAAAATAGAGTATATAAAAATGTGTATTCCCTAAATTTACTGTCTGAATTGTAGAAGGGAGTGGGGATTTACATTTTGCCACATTTATAAAGTAATTAACAAAATAAATCAAACTTCAAACACATGTCCAGGTACCCATTGGACAGGAATGTTGTGAAAAGAGAAGTTTAGAACTAAACAGAAAGGTTTAAGCTTAGAAAAGAGAAGGTGCTGGAAGCCTCCTTTAAGCAAATAAGCAGGATGCTGAGCCTAAAGCCCTGACTTCCTCACTTTCTCCATCCTAAGTCACATCGTCTTTCTAACACGGCTGACATGGTGATAACATAACTGTTGATAACATAACATGGTGATAAAATGTAAAAGCAGCCACAGTCGAGCAAAACAGAACTCCCAGAGTCCAATGATTAGGAAGTACTCTGTCTGACTTTAGGGTCTAATGAAAAAATTCCCTCCAGAATCATGACTTCTGGAAAAAATTTATTCTTGCCAATCTATTTTAGGGTATCAGATGTTGATGTCAGAGGGACCAAGTTCTGTTTGATTTAGAAAGGGGATTATCTGTTAGTAGAAAAACCAATGATCCGAATTAAAATCAGAGTTGGGCATAACAAATTATGCTTGCTTTTTCTATGACTTTCATAAACTAATTCTCCTCAGTGTTTAAAGATGAAGAAGTTACTCAACCACCCAGGGGAACGATGTCAACCTACAGGTTAGACACCTCCACAGGGGAATCATGAATGGGGTCATGTGGTTTACAAACTCGAGTTTGCATACAGCATTTGCATATATTTCAGATTATTAAAGGGCTGTTTAACCAAGAGAATGATTGCATTCTAACCTCTGCCACAGTTAGAATATCTAAAACAAAAGAAACAATAATTCTTCACACAGTCACAGTGAGTCAAAGTCATCAGATAAAAGTAAACTGGGACTTCTAAATCCAAAACTCCATCTGACTAGATCATTAGACTCGAGGAATCAAATGTCCAAAAAGGACAGCTCAAATTAAAAACAAAAACCAAAAACCCTCACCTGTTTATGGAGGAAGAAATCATAGGCTGAAGGAGAAGTAAAATTAATCTTTTATCAATCAGGCCATTATACTGGTTTTCAAAGAGAATTTGCAAAGCAGGCTAGGTCAAAAAGAATCATTTCATTCAGGAAACACAAAAGACCCCAGAGGCAGTGCGGTACTTGCCACACCTGTCTTTTCTTCTATGGCCATTTACCTTGAAGCACATATATTCTATTCTAGAAAGAAATTCTTCAGTAGTTCCTTTTAGTTACACATAATGTAAGCCAAGTAAACACCTAATGTTCTAGGAAAAGGTTTAACTAGACATTTTTTTTAGCTAAACAAAGGCCGTCACTCACCATTCCCAACTCACTTCCATCCAAGAATCTTTCTGAACTCTCTTCCCCTATCACAAAGTGTATTTGTGTATAGGAGGTAGGGAGTGACTACTAGGTTACCAGATAAATACAGTGTCCGATAAGTTAAAATTACCTCAAGCTTCTTCTATTACATACTTTTTAAAAAATGGGTGGCAGGATCAGTAGCACTTTCTACAAAGGGCTGTAAGAGAGGAGGAGGTAATGTAACTTTAGTTCACTTCACCAGCATCACACAGAGCCCTCACGAAAGGGAACTAGTAGGAAATAAAACCAGCACCTAAAATATCATTTGAATCACCCACAGCATAGCTTCATTCCCAGTATGCCAGTCTTAGCCTCCAATGCACAAATCACTGAACTAAATGGCTAAATACATTAAAGCCTCCCCTCCTCGTGTGGTATTCTAGTCACTATTTTGACCTTCCCAGAGTCATCCTTTCTTCTCCATGATGATCATCATGTGTTTGCCACTGATTACTGCACCAAATTCTACTCTCAACTGATATCTTTTTATTAGCAATTTTCTGTACTTGCAGAATCACTAAATATCAAGGTTGAAAAAGATGCTGAAGGTCTACACCCATTTCATTCTTGGCAGAATGTTATTTATATCTACTGTTCCCTTCCTAAGCCTATTCCTATCTGCCCCAAAGTTTCCCCACCCTCAATGTCTACTCCTAGCAGTTTTTCCTGTTATAAACCCCTATACCCGCAGTGCCTCTATAAATATCACTGTCCCTATTTCAATATATAAGTTCTGGTTCTCCCAGCTGAGGTCTCAGTTTCAAACCTCTGTCATAACTAGTCACCTCAGTTATATTTGGGGAGCCTTCTCCAGTCAAGTCTCTCTTTTAAAGCGCATGCCTTAAGAATACAGCCAGGCTTCCCAATTGCCTCTTTGTACTTACAAATAGCCATAAAATCATGACATTTCAGACCTGAAGGAAAACTCATAAATAATCTAGCCCAATGTTTTCAAACATTTTTACTGCACTTCACATATTTTTGTATGAAATCCATTTTACATGACAATCTCATATACACATAACTGAAATAAGACTCATGAAACAATACTTACCCTTATTATGTAAACACACTAAAAATTTGTATTCTATTCTATTTTTTAAAAATTCAGGTGCTATCCACTGAACGGATTTCACAACCCAGCAACAGGATGGAACCCATAATTTAAGAAACATTAGTCCAAACTTCTATGCACTGAAGAAGAAACTGTAGTCCAGAGGTGAAGTAAGTTTCCCAGCAACAAGAAGTTTGTCCATAAGCTTTTAAACTGAGGTCGCTATGATAAGTCTCAGACCAGTGTTCTTCCCACTGAAGACCTTCTCTGCCCAGTCACAGCCACTCAATCACACCTTGTGCCCAAACCCAGCCCTACAGTACCATCTCCAGTCACTGGTCCCACGCTCTTCTTCTCCGAGTTAGCCCTTCCAAGTTAGTGCTCGTTGGTCAGTCTGCACAGCCGCTGCTTCATGTTCCCTTAGGTCAAAGTATCCTCACAGTCACTATCCATCGATCAGTCTCCTCCGAATCATTGGCCCTTGGTCACAGTGCCCACGCAGTCACTGCCTCACATTTCTTCGGTCATAGTCCCCTCGCAACGTCTGCCTTGTGCTCTCCGAGGTCAGAATCCCTTGCATTCACTGCTCCTGAGTCTCAGACCCCTCGTAAGCAGCTACATCTCGGTCACAGTCCTCTCGCTGTCACTGTCCCTGGGTCACAGTAGCCTCGCAGTCCCTGCCTCACGCTCCCCTGCTGTCACTGACCCACTCTTTTTTCAATCTCCTCGCGGTCTCCACCCCACAATTTCTCCTCTCAAAGAGAGCCGCGAGAATATGCCCACTCCGGGCCCCCACCTGCAGTTCGGGTTCCCTCGACCCCTGTCCCGTCAGATTTCTCCCGGGCGAAAGGGAAGTTGAGGGAGACGCCCGAAAAAGGCAGCTGAGGGAACAGCGGCCGGAAATCCCGCCTACTGCCCGCCCCCTTGTCAATCCAACCACGACTTTTCTCGGCAAACCCTGACCCCTGACACAGTAGTTCCGCCTCCACGGAAGCTCTGGAGACGTGGTGACTGAGCAGATGACGGGAGATAAATTGGCTAAGGGTCAGTCTCTATGCAACATGAGTACGCGGTGGCCTCCTAGTAATGAGATACGGATGGGGCCTGTCACGCGTGCTATCCCGCAATCGGTCTAGAAACAGCGCTAACTTGGCGGCCCCGAGCTCCGTCCTCCTCGGGCGGACCTGTCCTGATCCTTCCCACTCTGTCCCCAGCGCAGCGTGGCAGACACTCATACCAGGGCATTCACAATGCGAATGGCTGTGACGCCTTCCGCCAAAGACCCACCGGGCTTGCGACGGCTTCACCACAGCGCCAACTTTTCCCTACTGGGTGATGTAAAGGGATTTAGGTCCACCTACCAAGTCCTGTAAAAGCTGGCTCCAAACCCGCTTTCCTGAATTGTACTAACCTATATATAATGAATACAGTGAGTCCTGTTATATCTGACGGTCATTGCCGCACCAAGAAACGATTCCTGGGACTCAACTGAGGGCTAGTTGAGCGGGAGCAGTGTGGAAGAAAAGGATTCTGTGAACGGGAACCTCACAGGGTGATCTGATCATAAATTCCTAACTGAGCAGGTTGTGTGGTGGTCAGCCACAGGCACATCTTTTTACGTGTAAGGCTTAACTTGTCCGTAGCAAGTCATGTCCATTGTTTCTGTGCATCTGGGCTAAACCACATCTGAACAGCCTCCTTCCAGACCCATCCTTCTAAATGATGACCACCCTCAAGAGTTCAATTATTCTATAAGCCAACCCCAGCTTGCGTTCCCCGCCTTTCATGTGATCTTTCTTAGGGTCCCTCCACAATTACAGATGCATAAAAGCAGCAGCAAACATTCTGAGGAACATTTGAGATCTTGCTCCCAAACATATGCTGTCAATTCAACTCATATAAACTCATAAAAATTCTCTGTGGGGTGGACTTCTCTTGGGTCAACAAGAAGATTTGAGGGAGACCACTGACAGGAAACCACACTGCAGGGTTCCGGGTGAAAAGAAACGTTTTCTTTTGCTAGAATGAATCTTGGAGGGGTTCCTTTAGATTCTGAAATGTAAGACAAGTAGATACCCAATGTAATGGCAGAAGTATGTAAAACAACTTTATATTTTATTAACTCATTTTTATTTTTGTCTACATGCTTGAAAGTGGTTAAGAAGAAAAACACTTATGTATCTGCTGAGGAGCATCCAGGGAGAAAAAAGATTTAAACTGTGATCCTTTCCCTTTTGAGTTTCACACAGTTATTTGAACAAGGCTCTTTTAAATAAAACTTTAACCCCAACAGCTAAAAGTCAGTGTCTCTCTCTCTCTCTCTCTCTCTCTCTCTCTCTCTCTCTCTGAAGTCTAACCCAGCAGCATACTACATTCCTATCATCCTGGAGTTTGCAATCACTTCTTATTCATCAATTGGGGAGTGGGACTGAAAAGAACGATGTGAACTGTCTGAAAAACTTTACTATTAGCTATAGGCAAAAAGGGTGAAAGAAGGTGAAGTGGGGCCAGCTCTGGGAGGGGCACAGAGCCCACCAGGAAGAAGTGTCTGTTCCTCTGGATTGATGGGCAACAGTCCAGAAAGCTCATGCACACAAGAAGTGTAGGCTCCTGGGGTTGGAAGGCACCTGGCTCTAGTCTTTTTTGAATAATCACAGGAATAGCCACCTGGAAGTTAATCTGAAGTTCCAAGAGACTAATGAATATGAGCAGTCTTTTGTTTACTGGTCCACAGCTATTAAACAGATTGATTGTTCTGTCTCTCTCGCTCTCTGGATGCTATAATTTAATTTAGAACATCTCAGAATTTTTTCCTTGTCAGCTTATAGACTAAGGTGCTCCCAATAATAGCTAGCTGGAGAAGACACTAGGGGCCCTAACGAGAAGATCACTTCAAAGATAGTAGGAATTGGGACAGTAACCAACATAATTTCAGAGAGTCTTAAGGGAGGGCTAATTTCATATACAGCTTAGAAACTCTCAGACTTATCAGAAACTCTGGCACTGGAAAAACCTGTAGAAAACAGATGCATGTTTAAGTTAACAAGCTGTGAAGGCGTAGGGTGGAAAGAGCTGAGTAAAAACAATGAGTGACAGGTAAAGGCAACAACTCAAAATATAGAAAAAAACTTTATGCACAAATAAATTCATCTCAGTGTTATTTGTAATAGTGAAAAATTAGAAATCTCAGTCCTTCAATAAGGACATGGCAAAAATAACCAATAGTATAACCTAATAGAATAAATGCAACTATTAAATTATGAGATCATAATGCAAATAAAATGACATAAAACTGCACTTGGCATGAGAAGTAAAAAATCAGGTTACAAAGTTGTATATATAATTTTTTAGAACCGAATTATGGATTTTTCCCAACTTTTCTCTACTTTCCAAATGTAGTTGGGGGTTATTACAAAATGAAAACACTAACTATAAGCCCTAAAACGCAACAGACTCAGATATAAGCCCAAACTGCCAACTTATGTTTATTTTGTCAAGATATTTAACAATATAAAAAAGTCCATATTTCTTCACAGTCCTATCTTTTCTCAGAGTTCAAAGGTTCAATAGTAGAAACAGCCGAATGCTGCCACGACACAGAATAAACTGTCCTACAAAACAAACAAAACAGAAAACACACACACAAATCCAGAATGTTAGAATGCATAGTTAGATTTTCTAAATGTAGAAATAAACTACAAACTAATGAACTTTATACAATACATAGTCATAAAATAAGCATTCCCATTTTTCCTGATTTATCAAAGAAATAATATATGAAATGCTTTGAGTTTCTTAAAGTAAATGTATTACCCACCCCAAAGAACTATTTTATATAATAAAAATAATAAAACTAAATAAAATAACAGCATTTTTCATAAATTCTGGATAGTGGTAAAAAGTATCTGGATGTTTATTGTTAATTTATAAAGTTCATTTGTCCATCTTTTAGCTCAGAATCAAAATGCTTTCCTGATCCCAGTTAAACTGTTTAAAATACTTAAAAAATTTTTTTTCATTGACCTGAGAGGGAAAGAGGAAGGGAGAGAAAGGAGGAGGGAGGGAGAGAAGGGGGAAGAGAGAAAGGGAGACAGAGAAACATCAATTTGTTGTTCCACGTATTTATACATTCACTGGTTGCTTCTTGTATGTGCCCTGACCGGAGATAGTATGCACAACCTTGGTGTATTGAGATGATGCTCTAACCAACTGAAATATCCTGCCAGGGCTTAAAACACTTTTTAGGTACTTCTTATAGGAACTCCACCTACCTCACTAACTCCTGACCTTCTTGAAAGGTTTTCTTAGGCTCCGCCAAGGAAGAAATGCCAATTCGCCGCAAAGTTAGGCAGTATAGAGCTTAATTGGAGTTTGCACGCCCCAGTGAGGTTACCCAGCCCACAGAGTGGGGCCAGGAAAGTTGCACCCAAGCAGGGAATGTGGTGGGGTTTATTTTGGTTGGCTGTCTTCGTGGGAGCTGGGGATTGGTCCCCTTTGAACAAAGTGGCAATATATCATTGGTGGTTCTCCTAGGGCTCAGGTTGCTATGCGGATAAAGCCCGCCCTTTCGGCTCTTTGGTTTGACGTCAGCCATCTTTTCCGGGTTGTGGTTCAGCTGCCATTTTGTCTTACCCCGCCCATCCTGACACTACTGACCTCACCTACAGTCAGTCCCAGGGTGATGAGAGAAACTCTGAACTCAAGTGCCCTATTATTAACCAAAAGCAAAATTCTTTGGTTAGCCCAGTTCTCTGGCTCCTTGGGTGGAGTAACTGTGAGCTGTGTTCTATAACAGTACTATCTGAGGTGACGGACCTGTTTTTGTTTTTGTTTTTGCTCTAATTTCCAACCCCTCATGCACTAATACTTTTGTAAAATACAATAAAATAAATAGGAAAACAATTTAAAAAACATACAAATACAAGCTAAATGTTTTATTATTAGGTTTAATGGACATAAAATTACTTTGTCAAATTCCTGTAAGAGTTTCTATACCCTTACACTCAATTTATGTCCTTACCTCATCAAGGACCTGTAACGAATGGCACTAGTCTGTGGACACCACTTTGATTGGCACTGTTCTATAGTGTCACCCAGAGTTCTCCAGCAGGATTGAGCCAGGTTATCCACAGCAATTATCAGCTCAAGAGCATATGTCTTTCTCTCCCCTCTCTCACTTCCTCATCCTCTACTAGTGCTTCCTGGGATCTTCTCCCAAATAATAAATTACTTTAAGTTCTGAAAATAACACCTAAACACTCAACGAACTGGACTAAAGATACAGTACACTAACTCAGCGAGCTAAACCACGCTCTCAAAAATGATTTTTAGATACTTCATCCACTAACCCTGTGTTCTAAAACTCAACCCTGGCAACTTTAAGTAATAATTGATAACTAAAGTTTTATACTATATATCTGTCAATATGAGTATTATCTGGCCCCAGCTGTTTATAAGCTCTCTACAGGCAATAGCCATGCCTGTCTTATTCCTCATTTTATTCCTAGTACCTCCAGTACAGAGATTGGCACATAATGGGAGCTCAGAATTAGCTGTTAAATTTGTATTGTATAAGGACTCAGGGAAATACAAAATTTTAACTTCCAAAACGCAGGAAAAACTATCACCTTAACTTGACCCTTTCCCCAGAGACCTGATAAATGAAGGTTTACATAATACTTCCCACCATTCAACCCCTGATCCCTCAGGTAGTTGAGCATAATATGAAACTCTGATAGGACCACAGAATTTTACAGCCTAAAGGTACCTTAAGATCTATTACACGGGCAGCTTTCAAATCTGGCAGTAAGCATAACCATGTGGGGAGCATTTTTTAAAAATTCAGATTCACTGATCCAACCCCTAACTTATTTGATTAGAATCTACTTGAGTACAGTCCCACCATCTCTGTATTTTAAACAAGTTTCTCAAATAATTCTTAGGCAGCCACAGCTGGTCTTTGGGAAAATACAGTACAGTTTCTTAATGTTACTGATACAATCAAACAAAAGTCCAATCACTTACCTAAAGTCATTAATTACAAAGTTACAGAGCTGGAATGGAACCTCTCTTCTAATTACTCCAGTCCAGTTTCTGTTCTACACTACTATACTTAATTCTGACTCTACTAATTCACAACCTCAGAGATTTGGATAGAGGAATCAAGTATAAAACATTATTAAAATTTATAAAACATTTATGTCAAACACTTAACCCATGTTTAAATGAAACCTCTTTTAAAAAAATTCCTCTTTTTTTGCCTAGTTTTGAGAAATAGCTTTAAGATAAAGTAATTAACCCTGGCTTGATGGCTTAGTTGGTTGTAGCATTGTCCCATACACCAAAAAATTGTGGGTTCAATCCCTGGTCAGAGCACATACCTAGGTATCAGGTTCAATCTCCCAGGCAACTATCAATGTTTCTCTTTTACATTGATGTTTCTGATATTACTTACTTATTTACTTACTTACTTATTTATGTATTTATCTCTCTCCTTCTCTTTCCCTCTCCTCTCTCTCTCACTCTCTTCCTTCCTCTTTCTCTAAAATCAATTTTTAAAAAATATATCCTAGAGTAAGGATTTTTTAAGAAGATAAAGTAATTAATTTGGTTACTGGAAGAAAAATCACCTTTGCTCATGGAATCCCTGCCACCCAAATTTCTTTGCAGCTTAGCAAAGTGCTATGTTTCTATTAGCACTAAACAATATCCTATTCCCAAATTAAAACTTGTGAAGAGTTATATCATCTGTACACATCTGTATCCTTGCCTATAAGCAGCACACTAGGTTTCTGCTTTAGTAACACAAAAGAGAACAGTAAAGTTATCTCATCTAGACGGAGTCTAAGATAAATGTCTAAGATTAAATTAGAGTCCTCGCATCTCAATAAATATTAAGTAATTTCATTTGAAATGCTCCTGTCTCCTTTGAAAGGAAGAAGGGGTTCTCAAATAGACTTACATTCATGAAAATGTCATGAGTGTAGTTGTCAGTGTCGGCATCCCAGAAACAGCGAGCGGCCATACTGAAAAGTCAAAGGATGGAGAACTATCAGCAATACGACACAGATCTGAATCACATATATCTACCAGCAGCAAAAGTTTTCCTTGATAATACATTCTTTTAGATCAGTGCTCGGAAACCTTTTCACAGGTTGGCAAACAGAAAAGCCTATTTTACAACAGAGAATACTGGGTAAACCAAAAGGGACTGGAGTCACATATAAGGTTGCTTGCAATGGGAGGTGACCAGCCCAGGGATCTAGCAGCCTCAGACTCTGACTAGCTGTCTAATGACTAAAGGGGTTACTACCTTGAAGTCTTTGGTATTCTGTGTGGGAAGTTCTGTTATATAGATTACTTCAGCTTAGATATCTGTGTGTGACTTTTAAAGGAAATAACACCTCAGACTTATGTCCAGTATTATCTCTACAGGATGTTATGCTGCCTTTAAATTCTCAATTTGGCCATTCCCCTCTCCAGTTCTGGGGTAAGAAAAAATGTCAGTCAGAATAAAAAACAATTAAAAAATGCAAACAATTTAAATTCCCAGTAGTATGAGATTGGTAGATGAAATTAGGGTATTTCTTGGCAATGAAATTCTATGCAGCCATTAAAGATTTTTTTTTTTACAAAATAACTCAAGAACATGAAAAGATGTTTACAATATAATATTAGGTTTCAAAAGTAATTAAAATGTTTTACATTTTTTCATTAAATATATATGTATGACTGGTCAATAACACTGAGTGCTTACTTTGTGCCAGCCTCTGGCGTAAGTGTTTAACATGCATTAACTCACTTGATCCTATGAGGTAGATACTATTACTATATCCATTTAATAAACATGAAAACTGAGGGTCAGAGAAATTAAATAAACTTGTCCAAGGTCATTCAGATAGTAACTGATAAAGCTTCACTTTGAACCTAGGCAATTTAGCTTCAAGTCTGTAGCAAAGGATATACAAATACCATATTACATTGCTTCATTTTTGAAACCTTTTAAAAAAGTTTTACATAGACGAGCTCCCCCTGACCTAATATTTTACACATTCTTAAATAAAGAAAATGCTACCTATTTCCAAGCTTCGAAAGTAACTATGAAATAATGTCAATCTGCTTAATTGATCAATCAATAAGTATTTATTTAGAGTTCTGCCCAAGATAGAGGCGTAGGTAGAAACCCTTTGCTTCCTCGAACAACCAAAAGGAGGATAACAACCAATCTGAAGTAAGTCCAGCATTTTGATTACCAGAAGTGCCAGAAAACCAAACTGCATGGAACTCTGACAAGCAAGGAATTAAAGCAACAGTTAACCAGACCAACCAGACAGGTAAGAAAAGCAGATGGAGAGAACCCACAGCAAGGTGGTGGACTCTGCAGGCAGGGAGGGCTGGAAGGACCCAAGGTGAAGTGGCAGACTGTGTGGGCGGGACTGGCTGAACAGGAAACTGAGACTCAGAGCTGGCTGTGGACTACAGCAGGGTTGCTGCAGTGGGAGAAACTCTCAGTCTCACATACTGGTTGGAAAGTGGGACAAGAGCAGAGCAGGTGAGCTGCTTTGTTCCCTCTTTGGCCCCTCCCCCACAGGCAGTGCCGCAGTGCCACAGTGCAGCAAGGAGAGTTGCTCTGCCCTGGTGAATACCTAAGGTCCCACCCCCTCAAAACTTAACAGGTGTGCTGAGACTAAGAAATAGGGCCTAAATGAAAGAACAGAGCAAAACTCCAGAAAGAGAGCTAAGTGGTGAGGAGACAGCCAACCTCTCTGATGGAGAGTTCAAAGCCCTGGTAATCAAAATGCTCATAGAACTGATTGAGCTTGGTCACAAAATGAAAGAACGAATGAAGGCTACCCAAAGTGGAACAAAGCAAAATATTCAAGGAACCAACAGTGACAGGGAGGAAACAAGAATTCAAATCATCAATTTGGACCAGAAGGAAGAAATAACATTCAACCAGAACAGAATGGAGAAACAAGAATTCAAAAAAATAAAGAGAAGCTTAGGAACCTCCTGGACGACTTTAAACATTCCAGTATCTGAATTATAGGGGTGCTGGAAGAAGAACAACAGCAAGAAATTGAAAACTTATTTGAACAAATAATGAAGGAAAACTTCTCCAATCTGGTGAAGAAAACAGACTTCTAGGAAGTCCAGGAAGCCCACAGAGTCCCAAAGAAGTTGGACCCAAAGAGGAACACACCAAGACACATCATCATCGAGTTACCCAAGATTAAAGACAAAGAGGCAATCTTAAAAGCAGCAAGAGAAAAGGGAAAAGTTACCTACAAAGGAGTGACCATAAGGCTATCAGCTGATTTCTCAAAAGAAATTTTACAAGTAAGAAGGGGCTGGAAAGAAGTATTCCAAGTCATGAAAGGCAAGGGCCTACATCCAAGATTACTCTATCTAGCAAAGCTATCATTTAGAATGTAAGGGCAGGTAAAGTACTTCCCAGATAAGGTCAAGTTCATATAGTAAGGACTTGGCATCACCAAACCCTTACTATATGAAATGTTAAAGGGACTTATCTAAGAAATTGAAGAAGATCAAAAACTATGAACAGTAAAATGGTAACGAACTACCAGCAAATGAACCTAAAAAAAGAAAAACAAAAACTAAGCAAACAGCCAGAACAGGAACAGAATCAGAGAAATGGGCATCACATGGAGGGTTCAGTGGAGAAGGGGAGGGGAGAAATGTGGGAAAAGGTACAGGGAATAAGAAGCATAATTGGTAGGCATAAAATACACAGGGAGAGGTCAAAATGGTATAGGAAACAGAATTCAAAGAACTTACATGTACAACCCATAGATATAGGTTGGGAATACTCTGAACACGAGTTCTCCCCTAGTAGGGTGTTTGCCAACTCTGGGCACATGGCAAGAGGCTAAGAATATAGGTTTTATTGAGGTAAAGGACCAATTACTGAGGGAAAAATAAACCATCAGGACTGCTGGCAATCTTGCAGGGCTAGGGAGAAAAAACTGGAGACCTGAAGGACCAAGATCCCTGTAAAAAAGAAGAGAGCAGAACTGAGCCTTAACATTACGTGGTAGGTTTCTCCTCAACATGTGCTGAACTTTGAAACTGCGTACGCAGGAACCTAAAAAACTAAGTGTGGTGGGCAAAATAATAGCCTCCCACCAAGTATGTCTATGCCCTAAACCCCAGAAGCTAGGAATATGTTATAATACATGGCAAGAAGGGTTTTACATATATGATTGAGTTAAGGATCTTGGGATGTAGAGAGTATCCTGGATTATCCAGGTGGGCTCAATGTAATCACAAGGTCCTTACAAAAGAAAGAGGGAGACAGGTGGGCCAGAGTCAGATATTTGAAGATAGTATGCTGCTGGTTTTGAAGATGCAGGAATGGTTTATAAGCAGGAATGCAGGCAGCCTCTAAAAGCTGGAATAGGCAAAAGAATAGATTCTCCACTAGAGCCTCCAGAATTAATACAGCCCTGCCAGACTAAACACCTTGATTTTAGTTTAATTAAACCCATTTTGGATTTATGACCTCCAGAACTGTAAAATAATATATTGTGCTGTTTTAAGCCACCTGGTTTGTAATTTATTATAGCAGTAATAAGAAATTTAATACACTAAGGAAAAACACTCTGAAATAAGAGTAGTTTTATGCTGAGGAAATTAGGACTAAAAGTCAATACTTGCCGGAGTGGATTTCAAATGAATACTTCAGATTCTTGGTTGGGAGCTCTGGAGAGCCATCTTCAAGAAAGAAGGGTGAACTGAACATAGAGCTTTATCAAAACTGGAATCCAACCTAAACTCAGCTCAGGACCCCATTGGATTAAGGTAAACAGCCCATACTCTATCTCACAGGTGGCAAACACAAGGCCCTTGGGCCAAATCCGGCCTCCACCTTGTTTTATCCCGCCTGGCACCTGGTTTCTACCAGGCAGCAGTGCTGAGCTCTCGCTTAACTGTAAATGGGTTTAACAGCAGATTACACACAAAAGAGAATTAATCAAATAAAAGACAGGTCAATAGAAACGTGTCCAAACTGAAGCACACACACACACACAAAAAAACCCCAAAATTTACTCAAGAGCATAAGAGACATGTGGAATACAGTAAAAGAGATATAAACACATGTAATTGGAGTCTAAAAAGGAGGGCAGAGAACCAAAACCGGAAGTGATATTTTAAAAAGACAATGGCCACACTTAGCACCCAGATCTTAGTTTCTAAAGCCATTCTCCAATAAATTGAACTAGGGCTTCTTGGAGATATGGCTGATTTTAGGCTGGAGCAGGGAATCTGTAATATGGATTATGTGTAATATGCATCTTATAGTGCAAACAAATAAGGGAGTGCTAAAAAAAACCCTCACAACAGTAGAGTATGTCAAAGGGACACAGGAGTTAACTGAAAGACTTCAAATGGTCAAACCGGAATAATTTGAGCAATAAAATAAAGTAGTAGATTATAATCCATTACTGAATAAATTAATTAATTAAAAAGAGATAAATCTGTGAGCAATTCCAAATAATTTATGTATATATTCTGCCTTCAAGGACATAGATCATAACTCCCTGCTCTATAACTGTGGGCTTCTTTCACTCCTACTCAGAGACAGACCTACATGTTCCAAAGGGATTGTGTGGGTGGTCAGGGAGAACAAAGAAGCTAAATACCAACAGACCCTGGTGCCAGGGTGAACCAAGAAATAGATAACTTCTAGAGCTCCTTGCCACAGAGTAAGAAGTAATGGAAGCTCTGTGAGTAGCCTGAAACCTCTGGACACATTCCAGAGTACATCCAAGAAAAGAGGAGTCTGGATCAAAGATCCAGACTCATTCACTCAGAAGTTCAACAGGTAGATTAGATTCAAGACGGAGTCAGCTCTGTCCACACACTAAGAATTTCCCCAAACTGACACAAAAAATATTCAAGGAGCTCTGACAACCCTAAGATGAATGAATTAAAAGAAAATCATATACATCACAGTAAAATGACAATGAGAAAAACATTTTAATGTGGCTAGGAAGAAAATAGACATACCACTTCCGAAGGAAGAGTAGTAAGAGTTACAGCTGACTACGGAAACAATGGAAACCAGGAGACAATTTTAAAGATATTTAATCACATCTTTAAAGTGCTGAAAAAGGAAAGGCACATATCTTTCCTTCTATCTCTTTCCCTTAAGGAATGTAAATGTAGTACTGTGCCATTTCAGCCATGCAGATGAGGACACAGCCAAGCGACAGAGAGGAGCATCTCTGTCCTTGACACCTGTGAGGCACCGCCAGGCTTGGACTCCTACTGGTCTAGTATGTTTTGAGAAGAGAAATAAACCTTATGTTTTGTGGGTTTTTTTAAGGAAAAGAAATAAAAAGGATCAGGAGTTAAAATGAAGAAACTACCAATGGCAAAAGACACGACAATCTGAACCTCAATAAGGATAATAACCACAATGGATTTAAACATAGCAAATATATTTAACAACATGCGTTCATAGATAGAAAAAAAACTCATTAGTAACCTTTGGAGGACACTGGAGAACCAATTCATTATTCTGAAAATTATTAAACTTATCCTTTCTTTCCTATACAAACTATACCTCGCTGCAATGAAATAGTTGAAAGAAACATGATTCTTAATAGAATTCCAGCTAATAATCAAAGAATAGTAGAACTAGAAGATCAGCATTTTGTAATGTCTGGGGAATACTGGATCTAGGACAGGCTGCTAAAACCATTAATGATAAAGCTGCTGGCGAACTTTATAACAGATGCATCTACCTGACAACATCTGAACTCCATGACCAATCTTAACAATTAAAACAAGGACCAACCAACCAGACATTTTGTGCCTCCTAGTGAGATGCAATAGGATGTATACTAAACACCTATGTAATATCCTTCCCCAAAACCCAAACCTCTCACTAAGACTATATTTAACTACTTAGACAGAAGAAATAGGAAACAATACCATGGGAATACAATCAGCAAATGTCAGAATATAGGGCTCTCTACAGGACAAACCACCCAATTTCTTCAACAAGTAAATGTTAAGGTAAAAAGAGAGAGAGAGAGATCAAAAAGAGGGAAATAAATGATATATTAAAAGAATTTAAGAGATGTATCAACCAAATATAATGTGTGGACTTTGGATCCTGATTTGAGCAAACCATAAACTATATACATATATACACATACATACACATACAGTACACATATATATACAACTGGGGATATTTGAGTGTGAACTGATATTACATGATATTAAGGACTAACAATATTTAGATGTGATATTTTATTATGTTAAAGGGTCTTTATATTTTAGAGATATATACTATTGTATTTACAGATGACATGGTATGATGACTGGAATTTGCTTCAGAATAATCTGGTGGGGCAGGGAGAGTAGGTGGGTGTATAAATGAAACAACATAGGTATGTATTGATAACCTTTGAAGCCCAGTAATAGATCCACGGGAATTCCTTAGTCCCTACACATTTGCATATGTTTGAAAGTTTAGACAATCAAAATTTTAAAGTGGGGTGGGGGAGGCCTTGTATTCCAAGCTCTAGAGTTGGGCCTGATCCCATTTAACCAAGTCAATTGAAAGGAGTTTATACTTCCACAGGGTTTGAAATAAACTCTATATAGAGTTTGTGGAAAGAAAATAAGGTGCACTCTTGGGAGACTGGTCTGGCATGCAAAGTGAATTGTAGAGGAGAGAGATCAGAGTCAAGAAGTGCTGATAAGGGGCTGCTCAGTAATCCTGGAATCCAGGTTACAGTGCACGGCAATGGGAGAGATTAATGGCTAACTAGAATAAAAGAAGAACCCTGGTAATACTGTGAGAGACAAAGAAATTAAAATGACAAGCTGATTTAAGGAAAAGAAGGAAAAAGACATTTGGAACTCTTAACATTTTGAGTCTGAAGTGACAGAACAGTAAAGTGTTTCTTAGTGAAACACTTACTGTTTCTGTGGTGAGAAAATCTTCTGAAGCCTTTAAGAAGATGGTGGTGAAGAGTACTGTGCTAGGAGTCAGAAGGGTGGATTCTATTAATAACCCTACCACCAGCCGTATCTATAATTTCAAGCAAATCATGCTGAATCTCCCAAGTGTCATCAGAAAATAGGAAGACTAGACACTAGAAAATATTGGATTGACCAAAAAGTTTGTTTTTTCCATAAGATGGCTCTAGTAGTGCTTAGTTGTCTTTAACTTCATTTGAAACAATTTTGTTAGACTGTATTGTGACAGCTGTCATATCAGCATGAATTTTATTAAAAACTTATCAAAATTGGTGAGGTTTTGTGCAGCCATTTTAACATTAAAGATGGAAGAAAATACGCAACATTTTTCAGCATATTATGCTTTATTATTTCAAGAAAGGTAAAAATGCAACTGAAACAAAAAAAATATTTGTGGAGAAGGTACGGTGACTGACTGAACAAGTCAAAAGTGGTTTGCGAAGTTTTGTGCTGGAGATTTTTTGCTGGATGGCTCCACAGTTGGGTAGACCAGCTGAGGTTGACAGTGATCAAACTGAGACATTAATTAAGAACAATCAAAGTTATACAATACAGGAAATAGCCAACATACTCAAAATATCCAAATCGGTAAAGTTATTGGTGAAATGAAAAATGTGTCTTTTATTTTACAGAAAAAACTAAATGAACTTTTTTGGTCAGCCCAGTATCTGCGGTCCCGTTCAAATCTAACTTTCTATAGTGGAAATTCTCAGTCATAATATCTACAAGGTATTTAAAAAATTCACTCAACAAGTATTTCAGTACTTTCTTACAAAATACTATCATGCAAGACACAAATGGTAACAGCAGATTAACACTATGGCATAGGAAAAGACAAGAAATACATATACTGAACCTCACCAATACAGAAATGATAATTTGAGGTCATGAGAATGAACGAGCTCATTGAGAAAGCATACAGAAGAGCAGAAGAATAAGAATTGAGCCTTGAATAAAGCTGACAGCTGGGGATCCAGGGCATAAAGAAGAACCAGTGAAGGAAAGAGAATAATCAGTTAGAAAAAAGGAAAGAAATAAGTTAGGTAAGTCTTGACATCAGGGCCAATAAAACCAAAGTGAATTTTAAGAAACAGAAGCCCAGGCCATTACAAGAGCTAAGAAAGACCTTTAGATTTGCTAATAAGGAGGTCTCAGACAATTTTAAAGTAATTAATTTTGGATAATGGTAGGGCCAAAAAAAGCAACAAGAAATATGGAAGGAAATGTATATACATAATCCCATACTTTCTTTGGGAACATATACAAGGTCTGTCTGGAAAAACTCCAGCCATTATCAATGTGACAAGGATGAATTGCACAACATTGATGTAATCTGGCAGCCAAGGAGAGTGGAATGGAATGTGCATATGTGAACAACGATGACTTCACTGTACTAGTCAGTGGAGGTGGTAGATGCCATTGAGTGAGCATGTGCACTGTGTGGCTGTCGTGTTCAAAATGACTGAGCAAATAGAGCAATGAATCTGTATCAAATTTCACATTAAGCTTGAACATTCCTCCGCAGAAACTATATGGATGATTCAGAAGGCCGAAGCTATGGGCAACTAGTGATTAGCAGCTTCATCATGATAATGCACCTGCTCATGCATCACATCTTGTACAGAGTTTTTTGGCAACACGTCAAATCACCCAGATGACTCAGCCCTGCTACAGCCCAGATTTGACACCCTGCAACTTTCTGGCTTTTCTCAAAACTAAAATCATCTTTAGAAGGAAAGAGATTTCAGACCATTGATGAGATTCAGGAAAATATGATGGACAGCTAATGGCAATTGGGAGAACTATGTGAGGTCCCAAGGTGCCTACTTTGAAGGAGACTGGGGCATCATTGTCCTATGTACAATGTTTCTTGTATCTTTTTCAATAAATTTCTTTGATTTTCATAGTACATGACTGGGTACTTCTGCACAGAACTCATATACATAAACCCAAAAGACCTACTAGACCGCAGACACTGTGAAAGTGAATTACCCCACGGAGCTCACTTGGACTGTGGACCTCACTGTTCAGCACCAGGATCTCTTGAGTTTACAGCTGCATTATGTTATACTGTCCTTTCCTCTCACTCTTGAAAAGACACAATCTTACTGAATCATCAAGAGGATAATAAAAACAAGAATGAAAAACCAATTACTCACAATACTCCTTCACCTCTTTGTTCTCCAATCACTACTTGCACCACCATTTTATATCTGTCAAATCCCATTTCTAGAAAGAAAAAATTAGAAAGTTATCTATAAGCAAATATATGGTAAAATTACTTAATGAAGGTGCCTGAAAAGGAACATAAGTGTTCAGTCTATAAGCATGTACTGAGCATGACAATAAGCCTGAGAGTCAGAACTGAGGAAAAATTCTAATTGTAAGCTTGTAAGTATGTAACCTTAGACACACAAAATCCTGAAAATTCTCACTAACAACAAATCTAGAGAGAAGAAAATGAATGAGCATCTTTATCTTCCCCATTTTCTGACCAATGAACACTAGAAACAGTAACAGCGAAATGTGAAATGGGCAAAGTTGAAACACAGCCCACTCTCTCTGATGAAAGTAAAATCTTCAGTATTATACAGTAAATTAGGCAAACACTCTGAACACTACAGGTATCCACTCAGGATACTTAACAAAATCTCAGAAAAGCCCTGACCAGTGTAGCTCAGTTGATTGGGCATCATCCTGTGCAGCAAAAAAAAAAAGTCACCAGTTCAAATCTTTTTTTATATACATATTTTTTTTATTTTAATTGTTGTTCAAGTATAGTTTTCTGCTCTTTACTCCCATCCCAGCCCACTCCCCTCAAATCTTGATGAGGGCACATGCCTGGGTGTTGAGTTCAGTCCCTGGTTGGGGCACGTATGAGAGGCAACCAATCAGTTGTTTCTTTCTCACATCAATGTTATTCTCCCTTTCTTTCTCCCTTCCTCCCCTCTCTCTAAAAATAAATAAAATAAATAAATAAAATCTTTAAAAAAAAAATCTCAGAAGTCACAGCCCAAGTTACTCTTTTAAAAATACTGTACATGGCTTGGCTGAGCTTCCTCCTTTCTCTACCCATTTCTCTTCCTCCTTTTCTTATACCCATGCTTTAGCAGTATGGCTAGAATATTAAATATTTAGCCCTTAAATCATAGTTCTGGGAGAAAAATAGTCTTAAATACAGTGGGAGGAGAGTTTAATAAAAAAATCACCCACAGCACATCATAACAAAATAAAAAGAATCTGAATAGCAATATGCAAGGTACAATAGCAAAAACAAAAGAATAACAAGAAAGAAAGAAACATATTGTTTAAGGGGAAAAATCAACCTAGGAGTTATATAAATCAAGAAACAAAGAAATTCTTCACAACTGATTCACAATATATAACAATGTAAGCTCTTAAATTCAATAAAATAGGAACTCGATCAGATTATAATACAACAGAAAGATAAAAAGGGAAATTGAAACTCCAGGAAACAAAGAGAATACCCGAAAAATAGCAATGTAGGACTAATAAATTTAAAATGGTAACAGACAAAACGGACACAACTGAAAACTGAATTACTGTTTTAAAATGACCACAAGAGCCCTGGCTGGTGTGGGTCAGTGGACTGAGCACCGGCCTACACATGGAAAGGTGGCGAGTTGGATTCCCAGTCAGGGCACATGCCCAGGCTGTGGGCCAGGTCCCCCAGTTGGGGGCATGAGAGAGACTACTGATCTGTTTCTTTTGCATACTGATGTTTCTTTCCCTTTCTTTCTTCCTCCTTTTCCCTCTCTAAAAATAAATAAAATCTTTTTAAAAACTTTATGTGTACAGTAGTACCCCTTATCCACAGTTTTGCTCTCTGCAGTTTCAATTTCCCATGGTCAACCACAATAGAAAATATCAAATGGAAAATTCCATAAATAATACATAAGCTTTAAATTGTGAAACTATCTGAAGAACATCATGAAATCTCACACTGACCCACTCCACCCCGCCCAGGCCTGGAACCATTCCTTTGTCCATGGCACCCAGACTGTATTCAATACCCACCCATTAGTCACTCAGTAGCCGTCTCCATGATCAGATCCACTGTAGTGGTGCTGCAGTGCCTGTGTGCAAGTCACCCTAACTTTACTAAATAATGGCCCAAAGCGCGAAAGTAGTGATGCTGGCCGTTTGGATATGTCACAGAGAAGCTGTAAAGTGCTTCCTTTAAGCAAAAAGGTGAGTACAGCACAACATGACATTTTGATAGACAGAAAGATACCACCACATTCACATAACTTTCATTATAATATATTGTGACAAATGCCCTATTTTATTATTAGTTATTTTTGTTCATCATACTGTGTCTAATTTATTAATTAAATTTTATCATAAATATGTATGTATAGTAAAAAGCATAGTATATATAGATTTTAGTACTACCCATGGTTTCTGGCATCCACAGGGGATTATAGAATACATCCCCACAGGTAAGGGAAAGCCTCCTTATCTGTGGGGAAATATATCTGTGGACTACACTGTCCAGGTTTATTACAATGAAAATGCATTATTATTACAGAGACATTTCTTCTCTCCAAAAAAAATTTTTAAAGGACTTTTCTGATGGCATAACGTTTTTAATAAAAGAGAGACCAAGACACAGATAAAGAACAGGCAGGAAAAGCACAAGATTTGCTCTGCACATGTGCAGTGTGGCAAGAATGGAGGGCTGAGTAGGACGAGTAGTAAGGATTCAGCTGGAAGGACTGACCAAGGTCAGACTAAAAGGGTGCTGAATGACATGCAGAGAAATTGATACCTTGGTGGGAAAAAACAACCAAGAATTTTGGGGGGAAGGAGCTCCCATACTTCCTGGATTTTCTGCATACTTGGGTTTCCTGAATAGTGTGGTTCCATACAATGTGTTATTTCAAATCTTTATTCCTTCCCACCATATGCAAAAACCTATACAAGAAGTTACTAAATAACTGAGAAGACTAGACATTAAAGAAAAATGTGTCTTTAACAGAATGCACATTTATGTCCCTTGTTCAAAGATGGAGAAGGAGCCCTGGCTGGTGTGGCAGTGGATAGAGCACCTGCCTAGAACCAAAAGATCCCGGGTTTGATTCCCAGTCAGGGCACATGCCTGGCTTGTGGGCTGGGTCCCCACTGGGGTCGTGCGTGTGAGAAGCAACCACACATTGATGTTTCTTTCCCTCTCTTTCTTCCTCCCTTTCCCACTCTGTCTAAAATAAATAAATAAATCCTTAAAAAAAAAAAGCTGGGGAAGGACACAAATGGATAAAACTCAACGTTTGAAGGGAACAAGTCATTTCTAATTATTACCTTTTAATTTATCTTTAATATTTTCTGATAAACGTTTTGTGAGCTGAGGCATTTCCTCTGGAGAGTATTCAGCATTTGCCAGCTCTTCCTTGAGTACAGCATGGATACAGTCTTTAACCACAGAGGGTCTGAACCTGAATGAAACAGTTTGAAACAACTAATTAGTTAACTACAAAACCCCACTTACCTTCACAGCTCAAATTCCTCCAGCTTTTTGTCATTAGAACCCTTTAATCTTTCTTTTTCATATTATTATAAAAGTAATTTAAAAAACAAGTTAAGAAAACAAATCTTATCTCTTCCCTGAACTTCAAGTCACATATTCTAACACATATTCCGCCCAGATGTCTACTAGGCAACTCAAAGTTGATACATGCAACACTGAGCTTCTGATTGTCTCCTTTCCCCAAACCAGATCCAGCCGCAGTCACTTCCATCTCAAGTCAGTGGCAACTCCATTCTTCCAGATGGTCAAGCCTAAAACCTTGGTGTCAGTCTTGTTGCCTATCTCTCTCACAGCCCATATCCCATTCATGAGCAAATATTATCAGTTCTACCTTCAAAATAATCTAAAAGTCAATCACTTTCATCACCCAACCCCTATGACCTTGCTCCATGCTACCATTACTGCTTGCCTGCCTGGACTACAATGGCATCCTAACAAGTCTCTGTGTCTGCCTTTGTCCCCAAATCCCGTTCTCAACATAGCAACTGGACTGGTCCCATTAAACTTAATGTCAGATCATGACACTCCTCTATGCAAAACACCCCACATAGTTCCTACATCACTCAGAATAAAAGCAATAACCTAACTGTGATTTGCAAGTCGCATTTGACCCACCCTACCAAACTCTCTGACCTTCTTTCCTACTACTTTCCCCCTAGTTCTCTCCACGTGGGCCCCACAGGCCTTCACGATGTTCTCTAACCACACCAGGCATGCACACTTCAGTGCTTCTGCACTTACTGCCAACCTCTGCCTTTACTTCAGTTTCCCCCTTGATGCATAGCTGGCTCCCTCACTTCTTTCAAGTTTTTAGACAAGTCACTTTTCTGAGGCACCCTCTCTAAAATTTCAAACCACCCTCTTACCATATCACTTTATATCTCTTATTACAATCTGATACACAGTGTGGTCCATTTATTTATCTTGTTTGTTGTCCTTTACCCTAGCTAGCCCGTAAAGAGGACAGGAATCCCTATTGCTTAGAAGAGCACTCAGCACACAGTAGACAATAGATTTTTTTGAAGAAAGAGATCATTGAATAAATGAAGGCAGAGAAAAAAATCTTCCCTAATTTCACCATCCTAAAAATGCCATTAACATTTCCATTGTATTTCTCATATTTTATAATTCTAAGTCCCTTTTCTGGCATATATATTCTAAAGATGATTTGTCTATCATGTGCCAAGTCACCAGAATGTTTCAAGTTTTCTGAGTTGATAATGTGGTTTAATATTTGGTAGTACTAGTGGTCCCTTACTACATTTTAACAGTATTTTCTTTGGTCTCTTGCCTGTTTTATTCTCACAGATGACACTTCAGAGTCATTGACAAACTTGTAGGATTTGATATGTTCAAAATGTGGTCTACCTATTAATAAACATACTTTATCTGGCTCTTCCTTTAAGCCTTTTTCATTCTCAGTAAATGTTAAAAGTTTTTTTCAAACATGTCCTAAATCATTCCATAGGATTATTCTCACATAATACATATATTTTGTGAATCATGCTCTGTACTGTTTTACAGCAAAAACACAGGCAAATGACATGCCATACATTTAGAATCTTTTACAAAGATAACTGAACACATCTGTTTTTTTAATGTCCATTCCACCCATCAGAAAACTGCTGTGTGAAATGCTCGATCACATTATAACCAAAGTTCCCGGCTTCTGAAATTTGCCAACAATCTGGTTTCACGAAACATAGGAGGGGCTTGGGAAATCTTTTACTTAAAATTTTTTTTAATCTCGTGGAAATGAAGTTAGTGATGTAGCCTACAGACCTAATAGACTGTCCTCTGCACTCTTCCGTGTGCCTTAATTTTGGGAAGGTATGAGGGTAGCCTAGCAGGCAAAGGGCCTCCACATATGAGGGACACACACAAAAAACCCCCCCACAAAACTTATTTATTAAAAAACTGTGTATTTATTCCTGCATGTTTTAAACTTCGGTCACCTTCAAAGTACTCTCTCCCCTGCAATACACCTACCAACACATCTTCCCCACCACTCAAAACAGTTTTTGAACTCAATGATTTTGATGTCTTTTTGTGCTCCTGCCATTTTTTGTTTCACCTCTTCCACATCTGCAAAATATTTCCCTTTGAGAACTCTTTTCACCCGGGGAAACAACAAAAAAGTCACTCGGGATGAGATCAGGTGAACAGGGAGGATGGGGCACAGGGGTCATACCGGTTTTTTTGGTAAAAACAAAACAAAACAAAACTGATGAGCACTCAGCATTGATGTGGAAAGGTGCGCTGGTAAATCATCCATCATACAATGGGCAAATGGTTGAGTCTTCAAAAGTAATTCACTGAAGCCAAACACCCCATCTCATAACAATGCCAGTTGGTACACGGATGCAGATGGGTTCCTAGAACAGTCACCTAGCCAGGGAAGCCTGTACTACAATGGGCCCACCCTCTAGGAGATAATTCCGGTTTTGTGAGTGGGTCCCTACCCTTGAGGAGGAGTAAGTTGTGCTGGCACACGTATGCACACAGCAACCTTCAAAAAGATGTTTGTTTCCTGCTCCTCTCCTTTCCATCCATTCCCCTTTCCCCTGTGCCCACGTCCTGGGTCCCCTAGGCCCGAACCAACCACCCTCACCCCGCTCCAATACTGCAAGGACAGGTAGGGTCCTCTGCTGCCCCCTGCAGCTTAAGCCCAAGAAGGACAGCGCCCCTCTCCCCGCAACTCGCCCCTCCTTCATCAGCCCTCTCCAGCCACCCGCCAGCCCGGCCCCGCTGTTTTGGCGGGGGCCTTCCCAACACCCACTCTCGCAAGTCACCCCACCACAACCCGTCTGCTACCCGCCTTTGCTGGAAAATGGGCCTCAGAATATAGGTGTTCTCTGACTCCCCAGAGTTCTTCTCGGTCTCAGGTAACCCGTCGCCTGCAGAGTAAGACGCGCCTACACCAAAGGACGTAAGAGGCGCCGAAGCCATGGCCAGAAAGATAAAAGCTCAGAAAGGCTTCTGGGCCCGGTGTATCTCGCGATGAAGGCCTGGTGCGTTGCTGCACTAAGCTGGGAAACCGTTGCCAGGGCAACAGGGCCGCCCTTAGCCGGGACTTGATGCGTGCGCACCACTGCTGGGCAGGAACTGGTCCAGGGGGAATGACTAACTTCGGCAAGAATTTATGTAGTTCTGTCTGGTTTACAAAGTACTTTATTAGCTCTTATTAACCGCGCTACTGGCTTAAGTAATTGATACCGAACCTGAGGCCCATAGAGGTCCAAGAACGCACAGCTAGAGAGTGGCAGGGCCCTGACTGTAATTAAAATCTTCAAATTGTAACCTGAGGGCCAAATCCAACCTTCGTCTTGTTTTTTGTGCAAGTGGTGAACAGGTTTTATATTTTTAAGTGATTGAAGAAAGTCAAAAGAAAAATCATGTTTCATGGCTGGTGAAAATTACAGGAAATTAAAATTTCATTGTCCATAAATAAAGTTTTATTGTAACATAACTATGCTCACATAGTGTCTATGGCTGCTTTTGCTCTGTGTTGGCAGAATTGACTTGTTACAACAGAAGCCTTCTGGTTCTCAAAGTCTAAAATATTATCTGGCCTTTACAAAAAAAAATTTCAGTGCCTTGCTCTAATCTATAACTGGCAACCTGCAATTTCACCAGCCTCACCCACACCCCCAGTTCCAGTGCAAAAATCAGAAGGAAGATACTTAGGGTGCATTCCCTGCTAATAAACACCAGTCTCTGGTCCTGTTTTATGAGGCTGTAGTATCCTGGCCTCTACCAGCCTCAAAAACTAAGAAGAGAAATTCCCCCAATATTCATCCAGGCTTCAACAAATTAGAACATGTGCTACTGTAACACCCAAAGGGGGTAGTTTCTATAAAAGCACACTTTGGCAATTTCTACTAGAAGCCAATTAATTTTACTATTCCACATTTTGTTTTATAAAGTGTTTTCTTGTTCATATTGCCTGCATTGGGCTTCCCTGACTCCAGAAAGCTCACTTCACCCTCACCTTTCCAGTCCACCTTTCACATTGCCCCCTTTGTCACTGGTCTGCTTAGAACCTTATGATGGCTCCCTAAGGCTGTCCCACCAGAATTCACACTTTTTTGCTTGCAGATAAGACCCTTCATAATGATCTGGCTGCATTGCCAAACCTTCCTCCTGGCACTGGCCAGCAGAGTGGAGTTTGTGCAAGGGCCACAGGGCCAGGTGTGCACCTAGCACCAGCTCAATGCTGCCTTAATCATGCCCTCTTTGCTGCCCCTTGGTTCAGCAGCACCAACGCCATCTCAAGCTGGGTCACCAATTTACGGACCAGTCTGGTCCCCCTGCCTGGTACAGAAGTCCAATGTCTCCTAGAGGCAAATAGTGTGTTTCCACCTGGCTGTTTCATCAGCCCTAAGAAATCATACCCCTACGATGCAGACTTTCTCTCATCCTTAATGAGGTCTTCATCTATGTTTCTCTCACCCTATCTACTACGGTTCAGCTGAAAACACAGAAGAGCCGGTGCATAATCCAATTCAATAAACATTTTTACGCCATCTGTACTAGGCACTGGAGATACAAAAAAATGAATAAAACCCAGGCCTTGCTAAAGTCCTCACTAAAGAGTGAACAGATTCGGCTGGGAACAGTGGGCTAAACTAATTATTTTTAAATGGAGGGTCACTTGCTATAACAGAAAGCTGAAGGACAAGCCTATTCCAAAGATGGGCCTACTCTTCTCTGAGCAGGATTACAAACAAAGCAACATTTTCTTCACTCCAGGATGATGTTTTAAAAGGCACGTGCAAGATAAGAAATGGACATCTTTTCTTCTTAATAAAATGTTTATTTAACACTGTCCTGATAAACAGAGTAGCATCAGCCTCTCTGCCCAAAGGTTGGTTGGAAGTCAAGCCAAGAGCCAGATGTAGATTTTATTTGGGGAGAAAAAACCAAGGTGAAAGCCCACTCTGAGGGTGAGGTGGTCCTGGGATGTAAGTAGAAGGAAGGGGATGCAGATGCCTTCCAGAATCTCACAGAGGGCAGCCATGTGTAGAGGTCTATGGTAGACTGAGTGCAGAACCCCCTCTCCTCTGCTGTCGTCTTCTTTCCTCATTGCCACTCCAAGGTCCTTCTCCCTCTTCACCACAGCCCTTTGCAATCACGGTAAATTGAATTGTGCAGAGAGAAGGTAAGTGAGCTGTTCTAGCTCATCTCTAGATTCAAAGACATTGAACCCCTCACCTGGTGGGATTGAGAAGGGGCTGTCAGAGTTACTCTCAGACTTCTGTTTTTGACCTTGTGCACTTTGAGATCTATGAATGTCAGCAGCCAGCTATAGGAAGATCTTCCCTAAACGTGCAGAATCTGAAGGAGAGAACAATTGGCCTGAGGCAGAGGTTACAGATACTGCCTTTTGAAGTCCCATTATGGTCTACAATAATACCAGTCTGAGGTTCCTGAAAGGATGGAAGAGGCTCAGGCAAGAGACAACTCTTCACTGTGAATTGTCTTACTGCCAAAGACTGATGTTTCTCACCTCAGTGTTCTGCTGAGCTATCAGAGTAGAGCTGAGCCAGGATGGGGACTGTGAACCTGTCATGTGTGTGAGTGTGCATGAATATGTGTATGTGTGCCTAACATGTCCAAACCTAGGCATAAATTATCTTTAAATTCTCCATTAAGTAGGTGGTGGGCTCATTACCTTTTCCCTGAAGGAGAAGCTCCTGTGAATCAAGGCACATCCTAACCATAACCCTAAAACTAAATCAACCAATAGGAAAATATGAGACAGACACAGGCAATTCTTCTTAGGTGCTATACGTGGATATATGATGGGGTATCTGGACCTTAGGACACCCTGTCTACTCAATAGGCTGTTGGGAACCACCCTGCCTGGTTTCAGAAGCTATAACCCCCCATGGCTAAGGCTGAGTGAAAGACCTTCGGGCCATAAACCACAAAGGAGACAAAGCTTATCTCTCTGGCAGAGGCGCCACCTCTGCCCCTGTTACTTTACCCTGCTTGGCCCTGGGCGGATGACTGGTTAGCCAATGATGGGTAAGATTTCTTAAGGGAGAAATGACCTAAGACAGGCATGGTCATTAAGGGGCCCTCAGGGGAAGACTTGGGGGGCTATAGTAAAAGGAGGTGATGGACCCTCACCCCTCAGCTTTGACATAGCCTGAGTCCTCATTCTGTCTTCGAGAAGTCTCCTAATCTCTTTGCTGGCTTACTTCCCCTGCCTGACTTAAGGCTGAAACAATGCTGGAGGGCGGTGCAGCCCTAGGCAGGAACAGGCAGTTCCCAGCTGTGATTAGGCCTAAGAAAGAATGCATAAAATCCTGTGAAACCTGCTTTGCTAAGACTGCTCTCAATTTTCTGATAAGGGTCCAAGCATGAAATGAGTTTGTTTTCCAAAGTTTTATAGCCCTTTAGCTAACTGACCCTGGCTCAGAATAAGCCCTCAATAGTTCTTTGAATGTTATCTATTGTTTGGTCATTACTGCCTGACAATGATTGACAAGCTTTACCTGTACTCGTATGCAAATTAAACCCAATAAAAGCCTATTGAGGGACAGGCTCCTGGCCCTTCTCTTTTTTTTTTTTTTTTAATATTTTATTATTTATTTATCTTTAGAGGGGCGGGGGAGAAGGAGAGAGGGAGAGAAACATCAATGTATGGTTGCCTTTTGTGAGTCCCCTGCTGGGAACTGGCCTGCAGGGAACTGGCCTGCAACCCAGGCATGTGCCCTGACTGGGAATCGAACCGCAATCTTGTGGTTCGCAAGCCCGCGCTCAGTCCACTGAGCTACACCAGCCAGGGCAGCCCTTCTCTTTTGAGAGATCACCCACATTTCCTCCCCAAGCACAGAATGTCTTGGTAGACTTACTCTCATCTGTGACGAATGGGGTGAGGGGGGCCTATGGGCAGAGCCTCCCCACAATAGGCTGTGCCTTTTTCTGTCCCTGATAGTTCTCTGTGCCCACCTTCCCCACCCTGGGCAGGTCTGCTGAGCTATCAGTTCCAGATAAGAAAGGGTGAGATGGTGTTTAGAGTCACCTGACTTCTACAAGTTCTGCTAGCTTGGCTATTCAAAGACGGAATCATGCTCCTCAGTCCTGCTGAGTAGCCCTGAGAACAGAGGAATTGCTGTATTCTGGAAGCCTCTGGTGCTTCTGCAGCTCCTCGCTGACCTGGGATGGAGCTGGGGTCCAAGGGACTATGGAGTAGATATAGCAGCATCTGGACTTCCACATTCCATTCCAGGCTTAGTCTACTCTGTGACCTCAGAGCCTGGGGTTGTCTGACTCATTTCTTGGACCTGCCTACTATCTTCTCTTGAGTGTACCCATCTTCCTGGGTCTTCCCAGGGTACTTCTGCCTGCTTTGTTATTTTCCCCGCCCATCAAACCTTCCCACCAGGATCTCCTTCATCCCATTCCTGATTCTTCTACTCACCATCCAGCACCACCCCTGACCAAAGATCCTGATGTGGGAGAAATGGAGGTCCTCTGCTTTCCCTGTTCCACATTAGAAGCAGCTATAACATCCTGGTCCTTCACATACCCCATCCCGCGTCTCTCCCCTACCCCCCCACGCTTTTGAATGCACTGTTTCCTCTGCTGGGAAATCCCTCCTCCCTTTCCTTGAATCAGCTCAGAGACAACTGAAGCCTTCCTTGATCTATCACAGATCCTTTCCTTGGAGGTTCTTGGAAGTTTGTTTATGATTCATACCCATAAATCCTAGTAGCAGAAAGGATTCAACGCAGCTCCTGATGAAAACTCTTGTCCACGAAAGAGCATCAGCTATGACTTCTCACAGAGGCTGCAGAAAAGGCCCAGCAAGGTGTTGAAGAAATGAATGACCACCAGGAGAATCTGGAGGAGGCTGATGCACAAAAGGGCGGAGAAGAAGGACACGTGCCAGATGACGGCTTTAAAAGGCTCCAGGCAGACAGAATTCCAGAGTGAATAGTCATATAAATAATTCCTGTCCCAAAAATTAAAGAGACCAGGGGTTGAGGAATAAGTAAGAAAGCC